GTGTTGGGATGGGCACCCTTCTTAGTGTACTCACAACCAAGTTCAAACACACTTGTCCTTCCGACCCCATGAATATCAAATGCTTTTCTCTGCTGCTCCCAAAGAGTGGAACATGAACGGTTGGTGGCTCCCACTAATGTAGCCATTAACATGATGGTTGGGGTACTTTTTCCTAGTGCCACCATCACTGACTACCAAGACCAAGGAGGGAACTGAATCCAAGTCTCTCATTTCCTAATTGTTAAGCTAGCATACAAAAGAAATTGCAGCACTTCCACTTAAACTAAACTTTAAATTTCTCTGTAAGAAAGCATGTCAGCATCTCTCTTCACAACCAAGGTTCTCAAGTGGCTCAAAGTGCTACTGCTGTTCCAAGGTAGCCTGTGCTGAGGTCAGAAATGTTCCAGAAATTAGAGTCATGGATGTCTCCTATCAGCTAGCTTCAGGCAGTGGTAGGCTGGCCATGCTGGATTTAGACTGTGCTCTGCTCAGCCTTCTGGATCCCATTAGGAGGTACTTAGCTTCCCATGGAGCCTAACATCAGTTCTGGATTCCTCTCCTGTGCGTAATATCTGACACATAATCAGAAACAGACCCTGGCTCAAAGCTCTAGCCAGCCAAAAATGGAGAGAAACAGATTGGCTGATGTTCTGCCAGGGCCACGCTCTCACAGGAATACTGATGCCCATGGGATGACACAGATGTAAATTAAAGTGGGTCCAGCATTAGGGCTTGTAGCTGAAACATTCAGTTGTTTATAACAAAGTTGTAATGGATATTGTGAAACATACGGGCCTTTTAGATACTTTGTGTTGTGACAGCAGTTAATGCTTCTGCTTAGATGCTTTGATAAAGCTGGAATTACAGCACTGTAACAGCCAGCTGTTATGGTAAGACAACATTTCCCCCAAAATGAACTTCTTGAAATGCCTGAAGCACTATATTCAAATAAAGGGAAGAACCAATATAACTTCAAATAAATATCCTGCTAAGTACAAGGAACCAGATCCTCAGCTAATATAAACCCTTTAAACAGAACAAATTTAAGCAACAGATAAGCAACAGATACTGAGAATCTTTGCTCCAGAATAACTAGAACTGAAAATAACAGCTACTTTTTTTCTACTCCCTCCTTCTTCCCAATTCATTTTGTTTTGATCTTCCCTAAGGACTGACTCAAAACCAATTGTGTCCTTGGGTAAGTGTGCAACAGACATGGGAATCCAGGGCTTTTCTCAGCAAAGGTCAAAAGAGACACTTTGGGGCTACCTGTAGTTTATAATCTCCCTCTATTAGAAACTGGAGCGTAGGAAAAGCCTGACCTCACAGCTAGGTACTTCTGAGCAGGGTAATAGAGTGATAAAGATAACTTCTAAAAGACAGACGAGGAAATGCATTTGTGAATTATTTGTATCAAACCGAAGAAAGAACACATGTAAACCACTGCGCCTGAGCAGATTTATGTACCTATTTAATTTTACCTTCTGTGTGCAACATTAAGTTGCCGCCACAAAGAGTATTACACAAATGCCCTGATGTGCTCAGAAATTAAGGCCTGGACATACAAGACACCAGGATGCAAAGAACACAGCCAAGCTCTCATTGACTTAAGGGTAAGAAGAGGATAATATATCATGGTCTGTCCTTCTGCCTCCACTTGCAACCCCACACTTCTGTTGAAACTGCATTTAGTTCCTGAATTTGTGTCAATTATTTTCTCAAGGCTGAAAACATTGAATCTGAGGTTAAACCAGGCCCTTACCTGCTCCAAACTGGCAGAAGTCTTCTCAATCCAGCCAAACTAGGACATTAAGGGTGTACAAAAGCAAGACTGATAGGGTTTCTAGAGAACTCCTGTCTCTTTTGCTATTGCACACATCCCTCCCACAAAATATTGTTCATAAACAAGAAAATAACCACCTCAGAATTCATTAGGTTTTCTGTCACTGTCCAGAAACATTCTGGAAAGCCGTTTCAAAGTCTGACTACTCTGCTGGTTTGAAAACATGAAATAAAAAGGCACTTGAAAATAGCAAAATAACACTGGAATGAAAAGAGGGACAAAAATCACTTGAGTTTGCTTCCAAAATAAAGTCTCTATTTAGTAGGCATCAGCCCAGCTGATGCGTAACTTTTAGTAACTATTGCCATTTCTTTAAATAGAGTGAAAAACTGACACTGTGTCTCATCTAAGTCCTTTCAGACATTCTAAATGTAACTGTGACACCTAAAAACATATCTCTTGCCTCACTCATTGCTTGAAGATACATGACCATGTAAAGGACTGATGGCATTTGACGTATTCCCACACACCTGCAGTGTCATGGCAGCAAATCTCTTGGCCTCCAGCAAACATGAAAATCATCAGCTTAATGTGCATCATAGTGGATTACCTCAAATTACATCACCTTGCATTCGCCTCATACTCTCTGTAGACACACTGGTATTTAACTCAGATTAGCAAATAAACTGATTTTGCCTCTCAGCCTTTAGAAAAGAGGTCTTGAGTTTTGCACCTTGGGTCAACTGCTGTGTCCTGCCATGGCAAGAGATGGTAGCAGCTCAGTCTCTTCTCAGATTAGTCCCAAAGAAAGGCTATTAGTAAAACTGCTGAAGGGCCCACTGCAAAGCAAAACACATGAGCTAACTACAGACCCATGGGATGAATCACAGAATCAACCACAGAGACGTATGTGTTGGAAGGGAGCTTAAAGCTCATCCGGCTCCAATCCCCTGCCATGGGCAGGGACACCTTCCACTAGAGCAGGTTGCTCCAAGCCCCTGGGTCCAACCTGGCCTTGAACACTGCCAGGGATGGGGCAGCCAGAGCTTCTCTGGGCACTCTGTGCCAGCACCTCAGCACCCTCACAGGGAAAAACTTCTGCCTAAGAGCTCATCTCAATCTTTCCTCTTTCAGTTTAAACGAATGAAAAATGTTTTCTCACAACTTACACGACATCTCATGACATCTTCACCAGAAGGATATGCTGGAATTAATTTATGAAGATCAGAAGTTTGTTTTCTTTTGAGAATTGCATCTCCAAGATTATGTCACTTTGCTGCTGAGAGTTGTTTCATGCATGAATGGCTGCTGCTTTTTTTCCAGGGAAGAAAGCCTACAAAATTTGGAGCATTAAATAAAAATCATCAATATTATATATTAGTGGCATGATATGCAATGAAGAGCTAGACTATTTTGTTGAAACCTTAAAATAAGCACCAAATCCTTGCAAAAGACTGTGACAGAAATAACTGTCCAGAAAGACTGGACAAAAATAGTTTCCTGGGATGTGAAGTTACAATGGCAGCCACTTAACTGAAAGCAAGTGAGAAACACTTTCACCCCAAGTAAATGAGGTTTTACCACGTAGAAGCTAAAACAACATTAAAGTAATGCTTGTTTAATAATATTACATGGTTTAATAAACCGTAAGATTGCTATTTCCTTTGTAAAAGATGGGCTTTCTCATGGCTGTGTCTTACTCCAGAAGCAGAGGGTGCTGTGATACCAGTTACCAAGGAACAGCACCCTTTGCTGAGACAAGGAGGCACAAAAGTACATACAAAATGTAATCAGTTCTAAGTACTGTTAAGTTTGATGGCTTTGTAATGGAAAGTAACTGCTGTGCTTGGAGGTAGTTGACATAGTTTCAGACCCTCAGGGCCTCAGTACAAAAGGCGTGAGAAAAGCAGAAGGACAGGACCTGGGACGGGGAGTATCCCGGACTAGCAGATGCCCAGGATGAGAGCAGTTAAACTAACTGGTAAGTAGAAGGCCAGGATGATTGCTATGTCTGTAATGTTCATTAAGCTTGTTGGGAAAAGTAAACGACCCTTAAAGACCACCACATTTTGTACGCATGCCGGAAACCTTTTGGAAAATGATGTAATATGCTCAGTGACCATGTAAGGATGACCTGTAGAGCAATTCGGGGACACACGTTAGGAGGAGCTATCCCCCGCGTCTCCCGGGCCGAAATAAAGAATATCTGCTTGTCAACTTGAAACTCTGTTGGCAAGTTTGTTCCTGGAGTTTTCTCCGAATCATTGCCACTTCTGAAGCAGCAAGGAGATCACAGTCAAAATCACCTTCAATTCCTCCACTTCTAAGATCCATTTTGTATGTTTCACTCAGCTCTCAAGCAATCTCATGTGCCCTTGAACTTCAGTGTGAGGCTGAAGGAGCAATTCAGACTTCACCTTCCCAACACCGACCTGCCTCCATTCCTCATCCTGCAGCCCAAGCAGCATGGCTGAGGCAGGGAACTGCGAAACTATGGTATAGATCGGGCTGTTTAGGAGTGCTTTTGGGCTGAAGAGGGAATTGCCCTTTGCTTGTCAGGCAGCTCCAGCATAGCCTTGGCCAGAGCTCGCCGGACCTGCGGCAAGCGAATGGGCTTGTCCCACAGCCAGCCCATTCCTCCACGGGCTATCCCTCCCCATTCGCTAAGAGGAAAGACAACAAACCTACCTGCATGTGTTCTGGGGGCTGCAGGCATGTCCCTGACCTTCTCCTCCTTCCGCCCACGCCTATTTTGGCCCCTGGTGGCCTGTGACCACCACTATGGGCGCCCTCCTTGCATACCCAGCTGCTCTCCTCATGCCCAGACACCCTCCAACTGCATCCCCACCGCCCCGAGGCCTCGGTGACATGGCACCCTCAGCCTCTGCCTCTCCACTTGCCCTGGTGTCTGCTGCCCGGCCTCTGGGATACCCGCCTCAACCCGTGTGTGAATGGTTGTGGCGCTGAGGTGGGGTTTATGTTATTATCACTTATTTATTTTTAAATATCGGTGTTTCGAAAGCGCAACACTCCATATGTTAGTTCTACTGGCCGGGAAAGGTGCCGGCGGGGAGCCACGCTGCTGCCGCCGCCGCCTCACGATGGGCTAAACATGGCGACCTTCCCCCCCAGAGCCGTGCACGCCTGCAGATCCGAAGGCGGCCGTGGCACCGGAGGCAGTCGGCGCTTGGGCGGTCGCGCCCCGCCCGGGAGGGGAAGTGAAACCTAAATGCGCAGCGGGGAGGGGCGGGCGCGTCGCCGCGGCCTCGGCGGCTGCCGGGGCTCTGGCCACAGCTGCGATGTCCCACACGGCGCCACAGGGCCCGGAGGAGGAGCAGCGAGGGGGGGCGCAGCAGCAGGAAGCGGCTCAGGGCAGCCGGGCGCGGCTCGAGAGCCGGTCGCAGCCCCCGGCGCGCAGCGGGAAGAGCCAGGAGCGGCAGGAGAGGAAACGGAAGAGGCTGGAGGCGCAGGAGCTCCAGAAGATCCAGCACCTCGAGTCCTTGTAAGGAGCGGCGGAGGGAGGCTCCCCGCCCCTTTGCGGATCGTTCCCAGTGCACGGCTTGGGGGGGCCGGGTGTGTTGGGGTTTCACTTGCCGCCTGGCGCCGCGGGAGGCAGGGCCCGTTCCTTTCCCTCAGCGGCTGCTTCAGCCCCGTAACTGTGTGAAACCGTGGCTCGTTGTTATCCATGAGCAGACCGTGCCTCTGGGAGCAGGGCCACTTGCAGGGCTGCTCGGTGACTCTATAACCACTTCTTGTGGAGGGAAAATGAGTTTCTTCCACGTTCCTGGGAGTCTTGGAGTTGCAGCATAGAAGCAGAGGTTGTGCAGCCGCTTCCCACTAGTGGGTTAAAAAAGAAATTAAGATACAAAGGTTTGAGATCTGCCGAATGACTCCATCAGTAATCCGCAGTTCTGTGAAAGGTTTATGGTATTTCTTTGAAAGGGTTTTAATGGAATAAGATCAGGAGGTTCACAAGAATATGATTTTTTTTTCCTTTCCAAATGGAAGTAAAAATCTGTAGTGAAATGCACTAAGCAGCACTAAAAAGTTAGACCATTTCATAGTGCCTCGGTGTTTGACTCCCAACACAGGTGCTTTCTCAGATGCTGTGCTCTAAGTAGTGCCTGCTTGCTGTTTGGATTTAAATACATTTTGTATCTGCTGTTAACTCTAAAGAAATGCTGCAGGAAAGATGATATTTGGGTCAGTATGGTTCTGTCTTTAGGTTTAATACACAGAGAGATTAAATCAGTATGTGTTAGGTTTGGCTGGCAGGGTTGGATGTAAGGAACACTCTGATGTTTTCAGCTGGCTGTGTCTGTGATTCAGCAGTGCTGGAGTGGATCAGTGAGATCCAAGGGGGTGGAGGGTGGGAGTGCTACAGAAAAAGAAGAGAGAATTGTACGTTTATGATAGCTGAGGGTGAACTGGATGTACCACACATCCCTGTAAAACAGTGCAATGAAAGCAGGTCTCCCACATGAGAATGAACCTGAAGGATGTTTGCGAGAAGCGTGTGTGGCGATATGAAAAACACTGTGTCTCAGTCTGCTTGCATCTTGGTACCTGTTGACAGAATGAAATGCAAGGGAAAATGTGAGGTGAAAGGAAAGTTCTAGCTCTGTACCATCAAAGTACTGTATGTTCTCAACGTGTTTGTGCTAAGCTGCAGAGTAACAATGTTCCTATTGCTTTTCAGCTATGAGAAACCTCCCCCTGGGCTCATTAAGGTTGGTAAATACATTGCAGTAAATGTGTAGCATGACAAGGGATTTTCATAAAACCTGTCTTTTAGGTGTTTAAGTGACTGTTACCTGTATACTAGGTGCTTCCAGGGTAAAACTCAAAACTCTCCTCAGTTACAACCTGAACCGTGACTTAGTGAATCCAGAGTGAAATGCCCAGATAGGATGAGACCAGTTCTTTCATCACCTCTTAGCGCACACGCTTCGTGCAGTATTTAATAGAGAGGCTAAAGGGGAGTCATTTATGGTAAAGCAGACTTTCAGTTTGGGTGACATCTTTTCAGGATGCTTCGCGGTTATTAATGCTCGAATATTTGTGTAAAAATACTTTTCCTTTCACAGTTATAACGTCTTTTGCCAAATTTGTATACCTAAGCCATCATTTAGTGCTTTTAACCTAAAGAAATAATCTGTGATGTAAAGGCTGCTTTTAATTATTATGTCTTCTTAGAAGAAAGAGGGAAAAGAAGCCTCTGTTTGTCTGTTAAGTTTTCATTTACATTACTTATTTAAATAAATTACTAAAAAAAACAGGAAGGAATGGAATTAATATGGCAATAAAGTTCAGACTGGAAAATTCAAGGGTGAGGGACAAAAGCAAATTACTTAATGCTGTTAAAAGCATTTAAAAACCCTTACCTGTTACAAGAAAAAAGAAATGTTACAGGGAAAATAGCTTCCACAGTAAGTGAAAGCCTGAACATTTGAGGTATTAATTTTTACCAAGTTAAAAAAGTTATTTTATTCTCTTTTTTTTTTTTTCATAGGAGAATGAAACAAAACCAGAGGACTGCATACCTGATGTGCCAGGCAATGAAGGTGCCCGAGAATTCCTGGCACATGCCCCAACAAAAGGGCTTTGGATGCCTTTGGGAAAAGAAGTCAAAGTCATGCAGTGTAAGGCTGAAAATATTCCAGATGTCACTGGACCTTCATGAGCCATCCACTTACACTGGGGGAGGGCAGATCTGCTGGACAGATGACGAGGTCCAGGTAGATTGGCCAGCAGGTCGAGGGAGAGGATTCTCCCCTTCTGTTGTGCTCTGGTGAGACCCCCATGCAGTCCTGATCCAGCTCTGGGGCTGGAACACAAGAGGGACATAGAGCTGTTGGAGGAAGTCCAGAGGAGGCCATGGAGATGCTGCTGTTGGAGCAGGTCAGCTCTGGAGCCAGGCTGAGAGAGCTGAGCTGGTTCAGCCTGGAGAAGAGAAGGCTCCTTAAGAGGAGACCTCAGAGCAGCTCCAGTCCCTAAAGGGGCTGACAAGAAGTGTGGAGAGGGTATTTTACAAGGGCAAGTAGTGACAGGACAAAAGTGGAAATTGAGATAAGCTCTTAGGCAGAAGTTCTTTCCTGTGAGGGTGGCGAGGTGCTGGCACAGGGTGCCCAGAGAAGCCGTGGCTGCCCCATCCCTGGCAGTGTTAAAGCCCAGGCTGGGCAGGGCTTGGAGCAACCTGCTCTAGTGGAAGGTGTCCCTGCCCATGGCAGGGTGCTGGAACTGGGTGAGCTTTAATTTCCCTTCCAACTGAAATCATTCTATGAATCTATGACCTCGTGCTGATAGAAAAGTATCTTGAAGGATGCAGTAGCCTTGCCTAGCCTTTCATAAAGGCCATGCTTTTATGGACATCATACTGTTTGTTCCAATACATGGGAAATAATTTGCATAAATATGGTTTTGGTGGGGTTTTTTTCTGATCTGGCTCAGAGATGCAATTCACTGCTGCTCTTTGATTTTTAAAGGTTGGAGGTGTAAGCGTTATGGACACAGAACAGGAGATAAAGAATGCCCGTTCTTCATTAAAGGCAACCAGAAATTGGAACAATTTAGAGTAGTGAGTACAAATGCTGTAGTATTACTGCTTGTACTTTTTAATACTGACAATGCATAATCTTGCAAGTGAAGAGAAGCCTGTTAGATGATGCTTTATTAAGGACTTTTCCCCTGTCTCTAGTATAATACAGATGCCGAAAATCTCCTAATAAAGAAAAAGCTACAGATGTGGTTGGATGTTTGACTGCTTTGCAGAAAATCTACTCTTCAAAAGGAAAATTAGTAATTTTTACATTTACATTGAAAACCTTCAAGAAGCTGTTTCAACCATTATACTCAGTGTTTGTGATTAAAATGCCAACATAACAAAACATGTCTAGTCAAGCTTGAGCTGCCCACATTGCAGCTGCTTCAAGCCTTCTGCTGTCGCTGTGAACAACCACATCATGAAGCCTGTTGTCTAGGTCTGTAATCCAGTTGTCTACAGGTTTGATCTCTTGCTACATGAGGCTGCATCTCAGTTCTGCAGATTCTTTCTGCGTGACCTCTTTAACTTTTCCTGTGGCTCTGCACTCTTAACCTGTATTTCAAACTCTCGTGACCTTGTCTTATGCCCTCATTTCTATCCTTAAAAACGTAGTCTGGACTCATTCTCTCCTGATTCTGAGCTCATACTGATTGTATGCTACTGAAAAGAGTAGTTTTAGCTCTCTCCCATAACAAGATTGCCTCTATTCTTCACTGTTTCTCATTCTTTTTTCTCTGTTGCTTCAAACTCTTGCTGTATGTCCAAGGCCCTTCATGGTGCATTCCTAACATCTTTCATTTGTTACTGATGTTTTAATTCCCACCTCTGGTCAACATCAGATCCCTCATCTCTGTTGAACTTGTTTGCTTAATCTTCCAACAGAAATTATCACCCCATCTTTTTGCTGAATTCTTGCATGGCATGAACTCACCTTAAATATCTGCAGTGTTTATTTGCTACCTTCCTTCACCACAAGCTTTGCAGCAATGCTGTTCCACTGCAAAAGAACTGAGTTAAGAACCAATAATGGTAGTGCAGAGCAAGCAAGGACAACTCCAACTTCATTATTTGTTTGTCTTATAGTCCTTGCTCCTGTAATCATTCTTGTGTGTTTATATTCAGAATATGCTATAAGGGTACATACAGCTCAGTATTTTGAATTTCTCTGTTTGTCTGGCTATCCCTGTAGTACATGAAAGGTGTTCTCTTAGCTAACTGCTTGAAGAGGCAGAGAGGCATTATACCTAAGAAGGGTCCCCTTCATTAAAGTAATAAAAACCAAACCAGTTCACTTTAAGTATGGTAAGCCTGAGAGTATACTTGGGAATTAAGAGCTTGCTAACTGTATTTCATCTTTTGATAAAAGCTTCTGGATCTGGGTTGCTTTGGTTTATTTGTTTTTAGGAAATATAACAGTCAGTAAGAAATACTTTGCTTTACCAACACTGGATTTTCTGTTTTCCACTTTAAAGGCACATGAAGATCCGATGTATAATATAATAAAGGAAAATAAACGGCAAGAAAGAGAAAAGAGGTAAGTGTGGCTCCATAGTAAACTGTATTTTCAGTTTGGTTTTCATTTTGATCACAGTACTAATATAGGGGAAATCTTGATACAAGCTTACCCTTACATTTTGTTTAATGGCAGTTTCTTTATGTTGGTAGACACGAATGCATTTCTGCTTTCTTAAGAATCACACAATAATACTTCCTGCCTTTTTAATTCTGTCATCTTCCACACTTTTCCCCAAAACAGAGTTTATAGAGTAGTCATTCATTTATGCCATAATAATCAGGTACTTGCATTTAGTTTACCTGTAGGCCTAAAAAAGGCTTCAGTACCATCATCTATGTGTCATCAGGACAATGAACATCATAATATCAGCATTCCAACATGCATTTGCATTGCAGAACTTCTTTGGATGGTCTGGTGATAGCTGTAGCCTTATTATTTTGCACACATAAATATTGGCCAGTATTGTGCTCTGCCTTTGACATCCTGTGGGATGGGAAGTCCCAGAGAACAGAGAATCTGCATGTGTCTAAAGGGATTGCTTTTATCAGTCTGCAAATACTGTAACAGGAGTGTAATTTGGCAGAAGCAGAAGTGTTCCCCTGCCCTTTGCATGTAGCTCTCATTTCTCAGGCTACGAAGGAAACAGATGAAAGCTAGAATAAAGATTTACAGGTAAAAAAGAGCTAGAAAGGATTCTCATTCCAGTTTTTAAACTCAGGATACAGGAGCTGAAGCAGCTCTTGGAGGACTCTACCTCAGAAGATAACAGCGATGAGGATGATGAAGACAGCAGCAGCTCCACTTCCTCCGAAGGCAGAGATAAACATAAGAAAAAAAAGAGAAAGAAGGAAAAGAAAAAGAAAGAAAAGAAGAAGAAGAAAAAGAGAAAGCGTAAGTCATCTAAATCTAATGAGAAGTCGGAATCCGATTAGCAGCAGTCACCTGCTGCATGCTCCTTGACCTCTTCTGGTGGGGTGAAAGGAAAAATCCAAAGGATGAGGAAGAAACCACCAGAAAAGGCTTTATTAAACTGGGAATGTATAGGTGATACGTATGACATCCTACGCTGGTTGCCCATTCCTGCCCCTTTGCAGCCAGAAGAGAACTGCATTAAAAAACTCTCCATCAAACATATCTTTATTGTAAAACCTGTGCTAAGGGTCATCTGCCTTGGTCAGATTTGGCTCTGAATTGCCACATGTGATTGTGGCAGGAAACAGCAACTTCCAAGGTATTGCCAACAAACCTGCAGCAGGAGCCAGCTGTCTGCTGAAGTGTCTTTTCTCTGTAAAGTTATTGTATTACATACAGAGCACTGGGAGTTCAGTTACAGTGCTCGTAAGCAGCAGCTTGTACTGTATTGTACTGCATACAGCCTATATGAAGTTCAGTGTATTTGTCCTAGTACTGGCAGCTGGGAAATAAAGAGCACTGCTGAAGGAAAGGAAACTTAATCAAGGGGATCTACTTAAAATTGCTGTGTTAATAAAACTTAAGTGTTTTATTGTGTGTAATAAAATTTCAACATCATCACCATTAATACACATAGTTCTACAACACCTCAAGCATTTCTCCAGCCTCTAGGATTGGGAGCTGAGTGTAAAGAGGGAGTAGGTTTAGCTATTTAAAAAGGGGGTTTCATGTTCAAGATGAAAAGGATTCATTTCTGTATATACTTTAGTATTGGTTGTTTTGGTACATCTGAGTTTTTTTTACTCGGGGAAATAAATTCCACCTTATTTTTTGTTTACTACAATTATTTTATGAATCATTCCACAAGAATATAAACGTGTAAGGCTTTCAAAATGGTTTTCAAGATAGACATGGTAACCACAGAACAGCAGTAAAGAACACATAAGCAGGAAGAAGGAAAAGTTCTGTCTACTCAGTTGACCTTGTGGACTTACTATGCTTTTATTCTAACTAATCTTGTAGGCTCAGTTAGATAGCTAGAGTAAGCCGAACTGCATTAGAGTAAGCAGCTCTTTCTGAAACATCAAGACGCAGTGGTACAAAGCTATGATTTCAGGACGAAGATGAGATACATAGTGGCAGTCTGCAAAGGAGAAACAGATTTGCCTTGACAGGAGTAGGAAGGGCTTACATGGAATTCAGTTTCTGTGCTTATGTTTACATTGAAAGAAAAAGAAAGGCATGATAAAGCCCTGATGTTAGTAAGGTGAACGTTAACACTGACATTAGGAACCACACATTAAATCTCATGGAAGATGACTGTTTTTTCCTCCCGAGACCTTTGGAAAAGATGACAGGGGAAAATATACATTAAAATGTGTTTTCTCCCTCCTACATGTTTTAAGAGTCATTTAGTAAAAATGACTCCCCATTCCTTGCTGGTAATTCACAATATGTTCTGGGGAAAAGCAAGGTAGTCAAAAGCTACCTACACAAGGATTCTTATTCCCATAGCTTGAATGCAGAGTTGTGTTTTATCTCCCAGTATTATACAGCATATCTCCCTGTGATGAGATAATGCTGGTGGCTCCTGATAGTTCCCTGTATCAGCAACATCAGCAGTAAATTCAGAGCTCCTGGCTCTTTCACCAGAAAGAAATTTAACAGCTGAAATGATGATCCTTGTCGGAGTTCAGCAGAAATACTGACATCTTATTTCTATGGCCATGAAATAACTTGGGGGTTATAAGTCTTGTCTGAGATGGCAGCGAGTCAGGGGAATGTGAAGTTTGTTTTTTTTTAAAGCCATGTATGTGTTTTCTCTCAGCATGCAATAAGTGGGGGGGGAAGGAGAGATGCCATTGACTCTGGTCTTCCAGAGTTTGATTTTCATGGGGAGACCTGCAATTAATTTTTTTCCCAACATAAGGCAGAAGACAGGACATTGTAAAAGGGAAAGCTTTATGCCATCCGGGTGCTACCAAGTTGACACTTGGAACATAGAATTAAAACATGGCAAGCCAGCATAAGCCACGGGCTCCACTTTAGTGACTGCAGCACACCGCTTTGTGACAGAGGTTTTAGTCAGCTACAAATAAGGAGTCAAATTCCGAGGCCCAGACAGTCTGCTCAAACCAATCCCCCAGCCTCTACCGCTTGTTACTGGTGTGCCAAGCAGCAAATAGATTCTTCAGCTGCTCTTCAGAGGTGCTGCAGGAAGCATGTGAAAGCTTCAAGGGCAGAGCTGTACTTGCCCCAGTTGCAAGGTCAATGCTGCCAGCACAGGAAAGTCCAGCCTCACTGAAAACAAAAGTGTGCCACGTATGTGCACCTGTAAAGTTAAATCTCAGAAATCCCTGTGGCTGATTACCTGCCCGAATAAAAGCAGCCTGGACTTCCAACTCAGTCTCATAAAACACAGTCTGTACTTCACAACTTGCCTAAAAGCATGGCTATTTTACCCACCAGAATATTAAATATAGCTGTAAACCAGTTGACTTAAGATGCAGTCCACAAATCATGCTGCTGAGTGGAAAAAAAAGCCAAGTAGAAGATTTAGTTTTGAGGTCATATAACTAGTACTGTCAGAGTAGAATACACCACATATAAAACGATCCAAGAAGTATTTTTGGAGCACTTGCACATTTATGCCTACTACTTAAAGCATTGGTATGGATACATAGCATGGGTACGCTACAAGACTGAGGAATTAGTTTAAAATAGCATTTGTTTTCAGACAAAGAGCTGTCTAAACACTCCTACTGCTACTCCCTCACATCTTCCTGGGAGCTGGCATCACCAGAGCCTAAACTGTTTCTTTTGTGTGGGTAGGAAATACATTGACTACTGCAAGACCTATGAAAGGATCAGTAGGATGATCTTGGGAGTACCTGTGAAGTATTAGCTATTAACAGAGTGCCATCTAACTGTGATGGTCATGAATATTCCTTTAACTGTGTCTTGCTGCTTACCTGATAAGTCTGTCAGCAGAACCGGCTTAGTATTCAATGCCAAGGCGATGCTCAAGTTCAGGGGAAAAGAAGTCAGTCTTACCTAAGAACAATCTTCAAGTTGAAGAGATTCTACCACTGATCCTCCCTGCCAGAATAACGTCTTTCCTCCTCTAAAAGCAGGACATTCCTGTATTAGATGTTCAAGAGCAGCAGTCCTATATTTTCCAAACTATTAAAAAGCTCCATGCTGGAAGTAATTCCCTCCCTCATTTTATTCTTTGAGGTTCTGATGTAACACAGGCTTTATGCATCACAAAAGCCGAATCAAAATCTATACTCCTTATTTTCTTGAAGTGCTTAGGGTACAGAGGAAATAAAGACTTGGATCATAGTGTTAAAGTAGATCCTTTCACTAACAGCTTGGGGTGAAGGATATAATTCTAAAAGCTTGTTAAAACAAGTAAGCAAGTGCTGTTAAAAATAGTAGATCAAGGATCAGTTGGGCAGGGAAACCTCAATACTTCCACATAAAAACAGCCACTTCTGAGCTATCCACCTCATCTAGATCAGTCTATTTCCATTATTCAGAAGATCACTAGTTTTATCATCTTCATTCTATAGATGATTTTCCTGTAGCAGGCTGCCAAGGACAGCATCAACAGTAACAGATATCAGTAAGAAGTCAAGGGACAGGGTACAGTGCTGTTGTAAAAACTCCTAGTTCACCAAAGTTCACCTCTCCAGCTCAGAGCCTCCATGGGGGACTCAAAGGTCTCCAAAGAAAAACAAGGGGAGGAGGGGGAAGCATCCCATCACCACAGTGTTTCAGTTTTTTTCTTCAGTCATGCACTTGAAGAGAGTTAAGATCTGAGAGGCTGCCTGAAACTTCAAGTCAGTACTTAACCTGATCCAGTTTTAGCTATATACTTTTACAACAAAAACAAATCCAACCAAAAACCCAGCTGATGGAAGAGAATTTGCTATTTAAAGCCACACCATACAGACAAGCCGAGTACGAGATGACATTGACAGGCTTCACAACCCTGCAGAGCTCAACAGCAGGACAGCAGTAAAGACTAATAATGCTAATACTACTGATGCACACACCCCCCTGTAACAAGCTGTTTTGCTTCCAGGTAATAGATGGAATACAAGGAGCCTCAAAGTGCAATTCTATTAAATTTATTAAATAGTGGGTGTGCTAGTCGTAAAAAGGTGCTTTTAGTGTTAAGTATTTAACTCCATTTTAAATGTCCTCAGTCTTTACAATGCTGCTACTTATCCTCTAAGAGTACACAGCAACTTACAAAATATACAAGAATAGAGTTTGGGATTTATGCAAAACATAACTTTGTTTCCCGTCCTGCCTCAATATTGGCATTTATCGTCTCTTAGAGAGGGACTTTCTTGATCCATGCCCTGAAGAAAAAAAAAAGAAAAGGAAGAGATTAAGGGATGCACTCTCCCTCCCAGCACATGCCAATTTGCTTCTAAAGACAGACTAGACAGCAGCGTTTGCCTTGTCCTACTGGAGATCACACTGATACAACTATGTGCTCATCTTCCCAGCAAGGATAAATTCTGCAGGAATGGTGCTTGACTTCAGAATATCCCAAGATAACAGATTGATAAGAGTTCTTCATGAAATTCATTGTGTATTTTCAATGTGCTCTTGCAACTACATTGTTGAATGCAGCCAAGAAGCACCAACTGTTTCTGGGGCAAATCTAAAGTATTTTGGAATGATGCACATTTTCCAGACGCTTTTATTGAAGAGGAACAGCAATTAAAGGTTTAACACTGTTCAAATAATCCAACTGACACCAATTTTGAGTATCAAGATGCTTCAGTCCAACATGGTTTCCAACCTTGCAAACACATGAAAGTGTCATCTGTTTAATATAAGAGAGACTGTCTTTAACCCCTATGTTTCCTGACTGACTATTCAGGTTAGCTTTACCATGCCAACTTGCTCATATCCAGAAGGAACTCTGATCCACCTAAATTAGCTTCTTGTACATACCAACCCTTTTCAATGTATAGCCTTCTTAGACTCTCCCACAAGTGCACAAAAGTATATTTGTTACTGAACTTACTCAATGTGGTATTTCCCTCCATCACCTTTCTCAGCTTCCTCCAAAGTAGCAAAAAGTTCCTACTCCATAAAGTTCAAGTTCTTAAGAACCGTACATATGCATTTGTGTTGTTTCAAGTAACAGTATTTTTGCTGAGACAGACCAGTAGCTTAAAGAAAAGCATTACTGCAAAGCAACACAGGACCCAACACTTAATAGTCTAGAAAGCAACTAGACTAAAATACTGGAGTTTTGTATGTGGGTTTTTTCCTTCCTTTCCCTTAAACAAGGGGAAGGAATCTAACCTGGTCAAAGCTACAACAGTCTTCATAGCAAAGTGATTCAATGTTCAAAGTTTAGCTTGCTTTCCCTCCCCTCCATCTTGCCCACATACAATAGCAATGTATTTACTATTATTTCACAATCTGATATTCTTACAGTTCAAACAAAACCATTAATTATTAGACAGTAATGAAGAAAAATCTCACAGCAGCCACTGTTGTAGCTTGTCACTGTATACCAACCTTTGTGGACACTGCTTTTAGGCATCTCCCATGCTTCTTCCACCTCACATCTTGTGTCTCTGCGTTTTGAAGGTGGCTTGCCTATTCTTTTCTTCTTTAGTTTAGCCAAAGGTGGGTACCCTACATAGCAAGATACAACCGATGTTATTTCTCCAAAGCATAGTCTAAAAGCAAATATAAGCTTGACTTCCCCCGACTGGTCTGTAGTGGGATGGGAGAAAGAGGAGCACTATGTGCCCATTTTAGTGGCAGACAAAACTGACACTGCTTATGTCAAGCACCAGT